ATCTCTTCAATCACGTGAACACCGCCTCTAATCCGCTTAAGTGGTGTAATACGAGCTAACAATCCGTCAAAAAAGCAAAATATTTGGCAAACATTTAACTCATAGAGAAATAGTAGTCAAACAAACATTGCATACAATTTACAAACTCTAGTATTTCGTGACAATCGATGTCCCGGTGTTTGTCTTTGAGGACCACGAAAGCGGTGGGCAATTGTCCGCTGATCTCATCCGGTTTGCCCACAACCGCCACCTCCTTAATGGACGGGTGGGTCACGAAAATGGACTCCAATTCCGTGGGCGACACCTGACACCCGTCCGTCTTTAGTAACTGTTTAATGCGGTCCACGATATACAGGTTACCATGGTCATCATAGTAACCCAGGTCACCCGTATGTAGGTAATTGTCACCATCGATGGTCTCATTGGTGGCCACAATGTTGTTGTGATAACCTGTTTAGTAATCATTATATTATGATTATAATTATTATTAATATTATGAATTAATAATTATGTATATTATAACTCAATAGTACGTAAACAGCACTATATCTCTATACTGTGCACATACTTATTGAGTTAACCCTTAAATATGTTGATAAAATGTAACTGCAATTAAATCTTGAGAACTAATCATTTGAAAAGTTTGAATAACTTTGAGAAATAAAAAGTTTTATTTTAACGTCATTTGTGAGCGTAAAAGGTGTAAACAATCGGTCGATTGTTTTGAGAGAAAACATATTTAAATGAATAAATTGTTTGCAATTTCGTGTCAATTATAGCACAAAATGAGTGAACCTTTCGGCGATTTATTGCAATTAAGTCGCGAAGAGTTATATTCAATGATAACTGCATTCAGACGTCAAATCAATTGTTTGTCAACAGATTTGTCACGATTTGAAAGTCTGTTAAATAAATGTCACAAATGTTTATCACATTTAGTGAATACNAATCAATTGTTTGTCAACAGATTTGTCACGATTTGAAAGTCTGTTAAATAAATGTCACAAATGTTTATCACATTTAGTGAATACTAAACTAATTGATTTCATATTAATACAAGAGTTGTTGGATTTGATTCACACGAACAGCAGTGTCACCAATAGATCCACTGATGCACAGGCAGTCATCGGTGGTCACAGTGTTGGTGATAATGACAACTTTGACCACGAAAATGACTTCAATTTTATCGGTCATTCAAATGGTAAGTAAAATGAGTTTTGAAAACAATTTTGAAATTTAGTGTCATTTGTATGACTAGTGTTGGGATCAATTGGTGGCCACAGAAGTGATG